AAACTTAATTAAAAGAAGTTTTGAGGGGCGGGCGCGGGGCCGGGGGAAGGGGGAGGGGGGCGCTGGGCGAGTGGCGGGGCAGCCACGTATGCAGCGCGGTGCGTCCTGCCTCTCCTTCTTCTGGAGCAATTTGGCTCTCCTGTTCGCAATAAGTCTGAAAGTGGCGCTGCGGCCACGGCAGTGGCCAGCGCGCTGCTGGGCGCTGCTGGGCGCTGCTTGGGGATGCTGGAGGCCGCGCTGATAAGGGAAGGGCGCCGCCAGCGTGCCTCCAGCGTGCCTCCAGACCGCCGCAGCCTGGACAAGGTAAGCTGATGTATGGCTGCCACGGGGCTGCTGGTGGGGGTGGCGGGGGTAATGAACAGGTCCAAGGCCCTGGAGGCCCCAGCCGCAGGCCGCAGCCGCAAGCCCCGCAGTGGTACAGCAGTGGAGGCGTCGCTCGGCGAGTCGTCGGGAGGCGCTCGTCAAGGTGAAGGAGGGCGTCCTGACGTCGAGACGCCAGATTGGTGACGTTCTCATCAGCGGGGGCTTAGCTGGAGGACGTCAATGATGGCGCGGAGGGCGAGGCCGCTACCTACGCCGCTGCCTCTCGCGAGCTGCAAAGTCGGACCGGGGCAGACTTCGCAAAGTTGCAGGCAGGCCCCGCCCCGCCGAGCCCCGCCGTGGCAAGGTTCGCGCGCGGCTGGAGAGCTCCGGAGAGCAGGAGAGTGCATGTTGCTGCCTGGAAAGTGGCTTTTCCGCGCCGCCGAGCGCCGCGGGAGTCAAAGGGGGAGCGGGGGGAGGGGCAGGGGGCCGAGTCCGAGCCCGGCAGCTCGGCGCGCCAAAGTCGAGGCGATGTGAGCCGTTGGCAAGCCGTTGGCACTCGGAGAACACGCGTAGAGAAGGGGCCGAAAAAAGAGGAGAGAATCGAACGGCGCGAAAGCGAAAACGGCGGCCGCGTCAAGTTGCCTGCTCGGGATGAGAGACAGCAGATTTGATCGGCGCGGTCCTCGTCGCCTCGTCCTTCATTACCAAGGCCGGAAGGAATGAGCCATTCTGACGTGGCGACGCCAGCGACGCCGGCGACGGCTACGTGGCGAGCATTCTGTCCACTTTCCCCTCCGAGGGGCCCTGGTGGCCCTGGCTGGTGGGCCTGGCGGGGCCGGCCCATCGCATTACCATACCCCGTCATCAGGTGGAGGCCATGGAGGCCCCGGCCATGGAGGCCCTCCACTAAGCACTCACTAACTGGCGGCGCTAAATGAGCCCGCGCCACTGGATTCCGCAGCGCAGCGCCCTCTCACTTGCCGGTGCCATTTTTCGGAAGCTCCCTGACGGACATTACTCCAAGGCCCTTCCGTTTTACGTCATCAGTGCGTGGGTTGCGCACGCCGTTTATTTTTCCCGCCTCCCTTCCGCCAGTGTGCCTGCCTCCTGGAGGAAGCCAATGCCGAACAGCCTGGAAGGCCTGGAAGGAGTCCTGGAGGAAGTCTCGCGGCGCACCCGGCCACGCCACTGCCACGCCCGGCCAGCAGACGCTAATTAGTGTATTCCGAAACATCAAGTTTTATAACGGAGACTGCTGCACCGCAGCGGAAACAATTTTATTTCGCACTCCGCCCCTCCTCCCCGCCGAGGAAGTTAAAATTGCGGCTTGCCGCCGATTTATTGAGAAAGTCGCCTACTCACTTTCACGGTCTGCTAGAACCTGCCGGGCCGGGACTCGGGACTTTCTGCCTCGGGTTCCGGTTTGCCCTCGGGTTTGCCAGCGGCGGGAATTTCAAAATGCGGCTGTCTTGGCGCGCCAGCACGGTCCACGTCTCTCCAAACTAGGTGTGCTCAGCGCTCTAATTTTTCCTTAACTTTGTTGGCAACTCCGTTACCGCCGCGCTGCAGTCAGAAGGTGGCGGCCCGGCGGCCCCAGCGGCCGGCCCAGCGGCCAGCCCAGCGGCGGGAAAGGATAGGGATTGTATGTGCCAAATGGAAGAAAAATGTATAAAGTAATTACGGAAAATTTAATTAGAACTAATTAAAGACCCCAAAAGACTTGCGCTGCCGCCCGGACGGCTGGACGGGGCCTGGGCTCGGAGGCGGCGCGGGCGGCGCGGGCGGGGGCACTGAAGTGTGAGAAAGTATCTCAGTTACTTGTTCGTCCCTTTCGGTTCCCTTTCGGCCCGCGCAACGCCATCTGGCGGCAGCCCTTCCGACGCCCCGCCCCACCCCGCCCCGCCCCGCCGCGCCCCGCGATCGCCACGCCGATCTCGCACAAACGTGCCAAGTATTTACTTCCGGTCGCACCTTCCGGACGAGGCCGGCGGGCCTCCTTCTTCAGGAGGAGCTCTGGCGGCGCCAGGAAGCTGTCTGCTGCTGCTGCAGGTGCCAGGCAGGTACGCCTCCCGCCCGCAGTCACCCGACACCTCGTGCACGTGGAGTACCTCTCTCTCTCTTCCTCCTCCTTCTTCTTCTCGTCCACCTCCACCACTATCTAGGTACGGAGCCCCTTTCATATCGCTTCATAACTGCAGGGGACTTTGACATGGGCCCGGCCCTTTGTCTAGTCATTCCCACACACCGAACCGCCCTTCTGTCCGCGTGTGTGTGCGCGCGCGTGTGTGTGAGGGTGTAAAAAGGGGAAGGGGGTAATCTGCCGGACCCACCTTTGTGCGAGCATGGGCCTTATTTCCTCACCCACACCCACACACAGACAAACACGCGCGCGCGCACACACACACACACACGTAAAGAGGAGCGCGGTCCTAAACTGACCCCTGACTGAAATATATGCGGGTCGTCGGAGGGCCGGACTAGTAGGGCGGATTCCTTACCTCGCCGCACCCACGCCCACACACACACACACACACACACACACACACACACACACACACACACACACACACACGGACACACACACACACACACACGGACACACACACGAAGCCACGCATACGGCCCACAGAGTGGCCACACGCGGCACTCTTATACCGTGCGGCTTAAGCCCTTAATGTTGCGTGCGGGCAAAATCACACGGCGAGAGAGAAGGTGGCCTGGCGCGGCCTGGCAAAGCGGGAAGCCCAGGGGGAACCCTTTCCGCTCCGCTCCTGAAGGACATTATGCGGCGAGGCGCGGTCTTCTCTGACGTCTCTCTCTCTCTCTTTCTCCTGGTCCATGCACATGGCGCGCGAGCGGGGCCCCTCCTTTTGCGTGTAACATCAATTCAAGGAGTCGTTCAGGTCCCTCCGTGCATGGCGGCGGTGGCAAAGGCAGGCAAGGCCTCATCGCCTCCTCGCCGTGCTAACTGGACGCGCGGGAAGGAGCTCCCCCAGGACCAGCAGTAGGCCCTCAAGGTGGCCGCCGTGCCTCTTGCCGGACCTACTGACCCCCAAGGACGCCTACGGCTTGGACTAACAAGGGGCACGTTTCGGAGGTGACCCGGTGTCCGAGGGCACGTTGTTCGGCACGGTGCGTTTCGAGGTCGCGATTTTGCAAAAACTTGCATAAGTTGTGATTGTTGTTCGCGAAAGCCCGCCTTGAGGGGAAGCAAAGCATCCTCGTACCTGGCGGCCGCGGCGGCCCTGGCGCCGCGCGTGCAGCCGGCTGCATTTCAATGCCGCCAAATCTCCCTTCCAAATTAGCAGCTCTGACCCCGGCTGCCCCGCCGGTCACCCCGCCCCACCTCCCCCTTAATAAAGTGGTGCGTTGTCCGGACGGCCAGGAGGGTCCGCAGGGGCCCAACAGCACCGGCCCCTGGCTGCCCGCCGGCCTACCTTAACCTCAGGCTATTAGCGCCAACAATAGGTGGCCCTGTCCGGCCGGCCGGCCAGTCCCCGGGGAGCAGCACGGCGAGCACGGCGGCCCGAAACAGTTGGCCAGACTGCTCAAGTGGGGCGCGGGGAGGCAGGCGTGGCCGGCGTCCCTGGGATGGAAGGATGCAGGGTCCTCGGCGATTCGCCACTGCCGCGCGCAGGAGAGAGAAAGAGGGAGAGAGAGAGGCGCCTGGAGGAGTTATTTTCAATTACCAGCGACTCACTTCCGCTGCGTTGGCCTCTGGATGGCCTCGGGGACCGCGAAGGCGGCACGGCGCCGAGCACCGCGCCGAGCACCGCTCCTCGACGTGTCATCGACGCCGCGACCGGCCGCCAGATGGCGCCCTCGGCGGCTCCAGCCGCTCCAACCAGCCGAGGCTCCAGCCGAGCGTGAAGTCGGTGGAGGTGCTGCGGAGGTGGTGGCCGCGTGCCGGGGCCGCGGAGCCCGCCGACGAATTAGACAAAAAACTCTCTGATGCTGGCGGACCCCTATCATCGCCCGGTCACCCTCCCTCCCCCTCCCTCCCTTCCCAAAGGTAGTACAGCACACCTTATTGACACGGAAGAAAAAAAAATTGATGTATTGATTTCCGAACAATAAGTCTGACTCGGACAATACACGCAGGTAACGGTGGAAAATAAAACCTACGCCAAAAAAAAACACACATGAAAAAATAATGAAATTGTAACGACCCCGGCCGCTTTGCAGCAAGCACTGCACGCAAATGAGTCTCCGCACATCTCACATGTTGCGCTCTCGAGGAGGACGAGATTTGTATCTCCCGCCCTCGACGCTTTTCGGAGCGTTTATTTTCTCCTCCCTCTTTACTTGGATTCCCGCATGCCAGACACAGAGGTCCCGCACACGGTGCGGTACGTACCCGCAACACAGCATCACGGCGTCACGGACAATATAGCGCGATTGTCCGTTCAATTACCTGCATCATCGTGCGCTGCACCTCGGCACTACAACGTAAAAAAATGACCAAAAAATAAAACAAAAAAAAAACTTGAACTTTTTATTTATTTTTTTCAGAAAAAGGCGAAAGATTTCGACAGACACAATTGCGTGCCTTTTCGCTTTTCACCGAAACAGAAAATAACAGAGGTTTCGTATACGCTCCTAACCGGGAACATGCCTGAACAGAGAATAATTTAAATTATTCTCTTTTCAGGCAATTTTGCTGAGTCCGATAGACAATTTCTCGGTCATCTGGCCGCTCTCGCACCTCGCTGATTGCGCTATTGCGCTAATGCCGACCGGGTGACACGTGTTGTTCCCCTGTGCCCCGGTGCGTCCAACCGTCCGTCCGCCGAAGTCCCAGCGGGATTCGACAAAATCACAGACTGCCACGCCGCGCTCTGCTAGTACGCTGTGCCACGCTACGCGACGCTACGCCGCGTTAACAATGAATGAAAAGTGGCTTCCAATTAAAGGGCACGTGTCGAGGGGGAGGCGGGGAGGGGGAGGGGAGCGGAGGGGAGCGGTTTAGCACACCCAGTGAATAGGATTATGGTCACCTGGCCGCGACGCGTGCTGCCGCGAGGGGGAGGCAGACGGTGAGTGGGAAGGGGGAAGGGGAGGGAGAGCGGCAAGGTCTGCTCGAGGCACCACCATTCATTCCACAATGCACCGTCTTCAATAAAAACTTGATCGTCCGCGGGAGCGGGGCAGCAGCGCGCAGCAGATGCACCGCTGGGGGCTGAAGTGATTAACATGCACATCACAACGCGCACAGACACATTCATTCCACCTTTTGACGTGCGACTGGATTTCCGTTGACCGCTGCTGCGTTCTGCTCTTCCGCACAAGCGGACTCCGTACTTACGATTCCGCTGTACGATCCATACACGATCAGCCCGGTCAGGCCGCATGGCCACCGCCGGGACATACCTGCGCACACAGAAGACGATTTTGAGTGGGACTGTACTGCACGGTAAAAACGGAACCTGGTTTTCCCAGGAAGCCAATGGTGAAGGTATAGGCGATTTCCAGGGTGTTCCTGGGAAAACCAGGAACCGTTTTTACCGTGTGGATGGCTAGCGCTGCTGGCGCTGCCGGCGCGTGGGTGACGCGGGCGGTGAAATAATTTCTGGCCCTGCTGACGGCGCCGACGGGGCTGACGGACGCCCGACGGACGCGGGCGGCGTCGCCACTTGAATCGCCCGGAATTAAAGAGATGGCTATCGGGCGTGCCGCCAGCGCGGCGGACCGTGGCGGCCAGGAGGCGCGGCGTCAGCGCGGTGGAGCGCGTCGCCGAGGGCGCGGTGAACGCCGCGAGCTTCGACGGCGGGCCGTCGGCTCGCTGGACACAAAGGCCGGAGCCGGCCACCTCCACCTCGCACTACTTCTGAACAATGGTATGTTTTGCCGTTCGGCCAGGAGGGGTGGCCCTTTCGGCCCCTGTAGTGCCCCTCGTCATCGTCATCGGCGCTGTTAGGCCTCAGCAGACCTCTAGCGTTCGAGTAAGCAGCTACTGTAAGCGAAGGACTCAGACTGCAAACCTCAAAAATGCAGGCAGAGTCCCGCCCGCAGCAACCACCCTCTACTTGGGGGGTATGAGGACAACCTCCACAGACCGTGGAAGCAGGACTCATCCCAGACGGGGACAAAGGGGTGACCGCCGCGCCACCTGGTGGTGGCAGTGGCGCGAACAACGCGACGACGTGCACGCCTTTGAGGCACGCGCCAGGGAATTCCCAGAGACGCCGAGACACATCAGGTGAGCAAACAAGCCGGACAGAGACGCATGGCGGGGCCGCCAAGAAGGCCCTCGGCTCGGCCGCTTCGGAGGTGAAGCCGGGCGGGACGTCGCGCCCGTCGTCGGTGCTCTCGGTGCAACGCCGCGAGCGCGCGCCGCTAAACAAGTCAATTCTGACCGCTGAATTTTTCATACCCGCGACGTTGGCACGGTTGGCTGTTGTGACAGGGCTGGGATCCGCTGTACTGGGCGCGCTGTTGCACACACACACACACACACACACATACACACAGAGCGCGGTGCAGGCAGTGCGAGGCAGGGCCGCCGCCAGGAATCGGCCAAAAGTGTAAATAAGCAAAACGTGACAATTAATAAATCGGGGTGGCTGGCGCCCTCTAATGCACGGCGCAGGATGGGGCCCATGCATCTCGGTGCGCGCGCACACACAGACGCAGGCATGCATGCACACACACAGGCAGGTATGTTTTGACGCGGCACCGTTCCGTCACCGCTTTGGCACGGCGCCTCCGCCACGGCGTCAGCCAGCGGTGTCGGCTTTCGGCCACCTCGCGCACGTGTGCGTGTGTGTGTGTGTGTGTGTGTGTGTGTGTGTGTGTGTGTGTTGTGTGGTGTTTGTGAAAGCGAGTATGTACGCGCGCAGCGGACAGTCCGGACCCCATAGATTGACTTCGCGCAGGAACAACAAATCCACCACCATATTTTGTCACACTGCGAGCTCGGACGACTAGAAATAATCCGCGCGTCGGACTCCCCTTCCAGTGGGCCGGGAGGCGCTACGCGACGCGGCGCTACGGCTGCGCGGCCCGCCACTCCGCCGCCCTTTTAAAGGCAAGAAGAGGGTTCCTGGAAGCGTTTCAACTGATAAATGCGCAAGCCCTGCATGCCCCCGGCGTGCCCCTGCGCGGCGCGCGGCGGACAGGAGCCGGTCCTTCTTCTCCAGGCGGAGGTGGCATTGTGAGAGAGCACTCTGCCCGTCGGTGTGAGCGCGCGCGCGCGTCTGTGTGGGTGAGCCAGCCTTGTGAGTGATCATCAAAATCCACTGAGCGTTTCGGAGCCCGCTTTCCCGAGCGTCCCGCTTCGTGGGGGCTCTTGCTCGTAAGAAGTCCGCCTCGGGAGGTGCGCATGGCCGAAAGTAGAGCAAGAGAGGCTGCAGCGGTGCGGGCTGCGGGCATCCCTCTCCGCCAAATGCATCCCCCCGCTCTCTGCCCGGCTCTGCAGGGCCCCAGCAGGACCCCTCCTAACAGTGACGGGGACATGTGGGGACTTTCCGTATGCGCAGGGTGTGCGTGAAAAACCTGTGTGCGGGGCGGGGACTTCCCTCGTGGCCTTCCCCGGGAATAAAAGACAGGGAATTGGAGTGCGGCTTGGCCGACGGCTCGGCCCCGCCAGCCAGCCAGCTCTGCATGCTGGGCCGTAACTGCCCGGCCGGCTGGCCGTGGATACGCGGGTCTTCCGCGCGCCCCGAGTGGCGGCCGCTAGTAACACCTTTTTCATGTTCCCCTGTGTGCGCCATTTCTCCGCTGATGGCTCAATTTATAAGGAAGGCCGCGCGGGCCAGCTCGCCAACCTCGCCTCGCCGGGCCGCCTCTCCTTCCTCCTCAAAGTGTCGCCGCGCTCGTTGTCCGACGCAGTGATTCCTCTGCCTGGGTGTGCGTGCGTGTACGTGTGTGCGAGGGCACGGCGCGGAATTTCAATTAACGTCTGAGGTGGACCGAGGCCGGCGCCGCGACCGGACCACGATGGCCGAGGCAGCCGAGCCGAGGCCGCGCCGCCAAAGCAGGCGGACAGCCCGGCAGCGTGTGCGGTCGACCAGACCCTGCGGCCCGGCGGACACTTTGCCAGCGATTTGGCAGCGGGAGCACTCATCGTATCGACATCCATCTTGTTCTCCTCCCCGTGCGCCGCCACACCGCCGCCACGAAGGCCGAGGCCGGCGCGCACCCGGAGCGGCGGCGTCTGGGACCATGGCGACGGACTTGGCCGCCGTAACCGGAGCCGCGCGCGCACACAGACACACGGCACACGACAAAGACTGACACCTGAGACGTCCAGAGACGGAGACAGAAACAAGAAAATGATAACACGGCGGCCATTAGGCGCCATGGGAGCGGTGACACGTGACGACATCCTAGCGTCCTGACGGTGTCCTGGAGGACGACGGTGTCCTGGAGGTCGTCGACGAGACCGTCTGCGCGTGGTCCTCGCGGTCCGAAGCAGGCCTGAGGCAACTATCAAAATGACTATGCGGGCTTTGTTAATGGTGCGGTCAATTAGAAGCGGTGGCGAGCGAATTGGTGTCGGCGAAGGGGAACGGGGGGAGGGGGAAGGGGCAGGACGATGCGGGCTGCGGATGACACACGCAAAGCATCCAGCCACACGATCAGGGTCTCATACTTTTTTCCGCCCGTGTTGCTCCATTTTTTCCCCTCTGACCGGGATTTTTCTTTCGCCGATATTTACCGATGACGTACCAAACAGGCGGTGCATGCCAATGTGGTGCGTCCGTGTGTGCATGTGAGTGTGTGAGCGCGCGCTCGTGTGTGGGGCTGCGGGTGTGTGTGACGAGAGGGTGTGTGACAGTCGCAGGCTGACAGCCGTCCGCCCACAGGACGTCCGCGAAACCTAATAAAGTGTCGCAGACCAAAAAAAGGGTTGCGATAAAAGCGACGGAGGTTTCCGAACACGGCACGCTGTCCCCGCCCCCTCCCTACCTGACCTAGTCCGGCGCGGCAAGGTGGCTGCCGCCGCCGCCACCCACCTGCCTGCCGCCCCCTTCCACGCGCACCTGACCTGCCGCACCAATCCGGCGGCGCCCCGCCACTGCGCACCTGTCCCATTGGCCGTGGAAGGCGCTCCCTGCCGCTCCAGGCGCCCCACCTGTCGGCCGCGGCCAGCCAATGCGCGGTGCGTCTCCGTCCAAAGAAAGAGCCAAGGCTTCCACGGACGTTTCGACTTCAGATGATAGTACTCTCGAAAGCGGCTAAGGTCGCTAGAGGGTTACGCTTGTATAGAGTGAATTGTTTCTGAAATCCAATATGTTACGGATAACTGTTGCCACGATCGTCGTTTCCAAGATATTCGAGGTTCAATGCCTGATAGGGATCGAAGCGCCGGAAACTTTCCGGAAAATTTCCGGAAATTTTTCGGAAAATTTCGGAAAATTTCCGGACCCCTGAAAAAGTAGGAAATATTGGAAATTTTGGTGTTTTTGAGTTATTGACTCATTAATGCACACAAATCTGTCTTTACGTTTTCCTTAGTGCATTGCGCGATACATTTTACATTGTGGAGCGACATGTCTCCCTCAGCCCTCTCGTTGTCACCTTTTTCAGTTTAGTTAACCCAAAAATACACTTCTATCAAAGTTTCCAGTTTGAATTTTACGCCTTCACGCGCGCTTCCGGTAGGAGGAGTTGGAATGGCAAACGCACATATGCGTGCTGCGCAGAGGGCAGTTGGTACTTGTGTTATCACACCAGCGAAACCGGCAGGGGAACGAGAGTTCAAGTTAAGGCTGGTGTACATTCTATATGTTGTACAATGAAGATTCTCCATATTATGGTGAAAATGTTCCATAAATCATTGTGGTGCAGCTGACCTCATAACATACCATCAGAAATTTCGTTGGTATTATGACATTATTGCAGTGTAGGCCATCAGCCAACTCCCTCCCAGGCCGACGCGGAATCTTAGGTCTAGGAAGTGAAAATGCCAATCGCTAATGTGACTATTTTGACTGATTTGACCGATTTAGAGGTGGTCTTAGTTATTATGAAAATAAATAATTGGTTCCTTAAACCTGTTAATCCATTTTAGTTTTTATGGATAAAAATTTTTTCCTCCTTATATTACATTTTAACGCAAAAAGTCAAAATTTCCAAATTTTCCAAAATTTCCAAACAAAATGGAAATTTTCCACTTTTCCGGAAATTTTCCGGGAACTTTGAAGATTTCCGGGAAACTTCGGTCCCTAATGCCTGACGTTAAAATTTGAATTTGTGGGTGAAGTTGTCAGCACTTCTCAAGAACACACGCACGTTACAGTTTTCGTGCCGCTCGCGACAGCAATCATAAACAGAAAGTAACAAGAAAAGGGGACAAGTTGCTGTGAAGAGACAGAGAGCGTGGAGGGGAGGCTGAGGCGCAGGGAGAGGGGATGCGATTTAGAAGA